GAAGAAAGGTGTTGAACAAAATCCTGCTGCTACTCTGGAGGAAAGCCATCCCCTTGGGGGCAGCAACCAGAGGAGCTCCTGGAGCAGAAGTGGAGACTGTTGTTGCACACGGCAGTACCCGGAGCAGCGTAGTGTTTCCAGCGCTTGCCACAGCCACTGACAGCAGGCTGGCGTTAAGAAAGATTGCCAGATAGTGCATTTTATGGCTTGAAAACTGGACTAAAAACTTTAAAAGAAGACAGAAATGCAACGAGCAGGAGACAGATTTACAGAGGTGCCAGGGAAGGGATAAGTTGGAAAGAAACCAAGACAAGATGGTGAGAAGGAAAGGAGGGAGCACGTGAGGAAGGGAGACAAATGTACCGGGCAGGAAACAAACTGAAGGGAGAAGGTGAAAGAGGAAGCAAACAGGATGGTCAAGAAAGGGCCAACAAGGGAAGGGCAGGAAAAAGAGAAAACAAAATAGTGATGAAGGAGCCAGTGGAGGAGGAGGAAAAGCAGAACTCCTTTCTAAGAGATAAGGGAAAATAAATGGAGTCTCCTGCTTAAAGCAGCCAGCAGGAAAAGGAGCATATTACTGGGTGTCCGTTACAAGAAAAGTAAATTAGACTGGTAACAAATTAAACAGGGCTGTCTTCCCCCAAAGCAGAAATCACAGAAAGACTAACTGATACACTCCTAAGTCTGGTGATTTTGGGGTCCCTGGACAGGCAGAATTGGAAACACGCTGACTACAGAAGAGCATTGTCCCCTCCTGTGATGTGGCGTTGCGTCACCTGTGTAGCTGTATATTCTTTTGATCACAGACATGAAATGCAGAATTAAAGTAGTTATTCTTCGGCTTTCTTTTTCCCCTAAAATTCAGCAGAGATTCTGAAATCTCTCCAGATAACTCTTGTCTCTTGGCTTGCATGAAACACTCCTAGTTGCTGATTGTATTTTGAATAAAATCTTCACTGAAGATCCATTCAAAGAGGACAAAGGGGTGCTGCTGCTGGACGGAGCTGTGCTCTTCTGCTTGGCTGCTCCGATTAAGATCATCCAGGCCAGCACGCAAATACTTTAAGGTGGGCACTTATTCATCCTGCCAGAAGAGTCTGATGCCATAGCTATTTGATTATTATTCATATTCCATTAAAACAATACAGTAGCAAGCTTTTAAGGCTGCAAGGTCAGACTTTCAGAAGAAAGAAGATTCCCAGGCTAAGGCAGGATAACTCTTCTGGCCTCATATGCCTACGCACTACGACAGGTTTAAATCAGAGGATCACGTGCGATTTCTGCAAGGGATCCCCTTATCATTCAACGCACAAGGTTAGACATTACATTAAATCTTTCCAAAGAACTCTAATCCATAAAAATCCATCACAGAAAACTTACTTAACGGTTGATATTTGGCAAAGAGCTGAGTACAGAGCCTGCGGACCAGGAAACGTCAGGCAGTGATGCTTTCTGCAGTGCTTCTGGCTTTGTCTGGAAATTTCTGACTGTAATTACTGTCAAGTGTAAGTACTTTTTTGTGCTGGGTTGGCAGAAATACGTAATGATGGCTTACAACGTACATTAGTGACAAGCACAACAGGTCATGTAATTAGCCACAGTGGCATAATAAAACAGTGCATAGCAGCCATCACCTCTTCCGTCTGGCTGGTTGTGGGTTGAAGGGAATTGCAGGGAGGGTATGCAACTGTTCACGAACAGCACAACGTGAATCCTCCCTCGGCTGCTTGTTTCGCGTGTGAAGACCACCCTCGCCCCCCAGGAACCGAGCGCCAGCCTGAAGGCGAGACACGTGCTCGAGAGCATTTCCCTTCCTGCCTGCTCAAGAGGGTGGCCCAGCCCCTCGAGACCCCTGTTTAACCAGGTCCCAGGGTTCCACATCACGCAGGGTCACGCACGTTTTAATGGCAAAGCCAGTCAGGGTCTCAAGCTGGGAAAGCCACCACGAGTCCACAGTAGCACTGCAGAGCAGCACACGCAGAGAAAAGGGGAGCACCCTCCCACCCCCCACCAGCACCACGGGCTCTGCTGCCAGGAGAAAAACATTTCCAATTCAATTGTTTGCCTGTGGCAAAGCTGAGATGCCCATCTAGGACATTTAAAAAGCCATAAATCAAAGCATCCGCAGCGGAACTAAAATTGGTCAAGACGAGGCTTTCCAAAAGGGCAGGGAAAGGCACGCCACGGTACGCTGGAGCGGCTCTAGCGCCGGCTTAAAGCCATCCTACCGCAGCGAGCGCACAGCTGCGTTTTCTTTCAAAATACTACTGCAGCCTTTCAAGAGAGAGGGGGAATAATCTAAATTCTGGCAGCGGGGGATATTTCACAAATCATATATGCTTTGGCATCAAGCCCTTAAAGCCAGGGGCCTTTACTCACAGGCTTTGCTGGGAGAGATCCACCCACCTCAAGTGGGATTAATTAAAAGAGGCATGTATCATGCAAATAGTTTCTGTTTCCTTACAGAAATATTCAGAGCACATAACCCAAACCAGCTTTAGAATCAGGGCGAAGCAAGGAAGAAAATTATTTCCTGCTCCCCTAACCCTTTTCCTTTCCCTGTAGAGTAGCCGAGGAACAGTGAGAAAACGCCAAGAGCTCACCGTTTCGGTACTAGTCCTTTGCCTGAATGCTAATGAAGCGGAGGGGAAAAAAAAAAAAGGGAATTTTTTAAAGGCAGGGGCTGCATCGCACTGTGAGGTGCCCAATTCTCCAAACCAAACGTGTGCTCAGCCACTTGTTGGAAAAGGATGGTCCAAATCTTACCCCTGAAAAAAGATCTGTTTATCTTAAGGCAGAACGGGAGAAAATAGAAAGCTGCTATTTCTTCAGCATGTCAGGATTTTCAGCTCCATGTGACAGTGGCTGCAACAAAAAGCTCCTGTGGAAAGCCAGATGAACTTTAAAAACACAACTTGCTTCTCAGGAAGCTAAACTATTTCCCTAGATATGCGAGATCCTGACACCTCAAGGAATCAGTGCAGAAAATGGTGGTGGAGCACTCGGAGCACGGAGCCCCGGTTCAAAAATAAGTCACAGAGAAAGCTCGAGTTTCCACAAGAACTCTTCCTCAAAACTATTTTTTTTTTTGTTTCCCTTTTAATATCTCAGACCCATTTTCTGAGTCAATTTCCTATGATCCCGCGAAGGCTGTTATTAAAACCAGACCAAACAAGGCAGAAATTCCAGGGCTCCCAAGAAACGTTTAACAGGCACAGGAGCCGGCCACACTGTCCCCCTCAGGTGATTTCCTCTGCAGCCCCTTCCCTGGGATTTCCTCTCTCGGAGTTTAGTCAGCAGGAGAAACCTGAAGTTTCAGCAAAACGGCAAACCCATCCTTCATCCGTAAACATCTGAGATTTCGTTTTTGAATGTCTGAGGCTTTCACAGCTCGAAGACAGACATCTAGGATCCAGTCCAGAAGATGTGTATTGCAGATATTTTTTTCCACAAGAATGTCAGGCAGACGTACATTCCATTTTATACCCAGCTACAGCATTTTAAAAACCCTGACCCCCTTTATCAGCCACGGCTTCACATGCCACCAGTGGCGGTCACGGATCGAGCTGATCGCGGGCTGCTTACCCAAGTGTCCTTGGCGCGCCTGAAAATTCCTTTTGGGTCTCCATCCCACCTATCACTTTAGCATCAAAAGATTACCATCAGACATGCTCTTAGCAAGCCGCCTCGGGAAAGCGAGGTTCATGCAAAACCCACAGCCAGGCGGGACAGGGGAGACGTGCTCATGTGCAAGGCAAGGTGAGAGGAGCCAGGGAGCGATGGTTCTCTCCGGCAGTACAACCGACAAAACACTGGACCTCATTCCTGGATCCGGTATGTCATTTCTCTGATGGCACGAGGGAAACTCTGGGGCCAGTGCCCTTCCGCTCAGCCCCAGGCTCTCCCAACGAGAGGACCCTCATTTATTTATTCTTCATATTATAAAGGGTAATTATATCAGAAACGGCCTCAAATTCAAGTTACTGACAACTACAATAGGTCTCACCTATTTAAAAGAAATGGAGATAAGAACCTTTGGAGAAAAATTTACCATTTCCAAAACGTAAAATGTGCACTTTTTGTTTCTATTTCACTGGCTTTTTTTCTTTTTCTCCCCAAATTGTGCCTAATTTTAATGTAACAGTCAATTTATTGAAAACGGAGAAACCTCTTTGTTCCAACATCGCCTAATCTGCCCATGCCTCTCGTAATCTAGGAAGTTACCAAAGCCCTCAGAATCAGAGGCTTCCATATATATATATATATGAGCGATTATGTGTATTATGTCACTGTGAAAATAAATATTAAGGACATTTCATTCATGTAACTTATATAAAAAAGCAGTCAATGCCACACAAAATTATACAATGTGCAAAGCTACTTTAAAAAGTACTGATAAATGCAAAGCCCTGGGAACGAAAGGAGATGATGCGGTGATAAAAATCCTGTTCCTCAACTAATTATTTTGTACCATGTGATCGTCACTGTTAAACAGCTACGGACCATTTTCAACTGGCTGTAAATTATCTGCCTTGTGGAGTAAGAATCAAACTCCTATGAGTTTGTTCCACTGGTTCTACAGGGATTATTCTTGTTCTCTCCCAGAAGAGCCATTAATTCCTCTGGTGAGGACGCAGAATGAGTTGTTGTACCCCTGCCCCTCTTCTGGGCAGGGGGGTAGATGACCGCTCTCTGTGAACCCCTATGTGGGTACGGCACAACCAGTACAGGGGTTCTTGGTGTAAAATCACCTAGTGTTTTCAAACTAAACAACTGGATTTTTTTTTCCGCCTGAAAAAGCTTTCTATTTTTTCAAAAAGTCATATTTGTGCTAAAAATTGGTTCCTCAAAACGCCTTTGACTCTCTGCAGGGAATGCCTAATTTTGTTTTGTTACCAGACTTATTCCACGGTGCTCGACTTCCCGACACAGTGCAGAATCTGTCTGTTATGCCAGAGGGAGAGAACCATGCCCACCACCGGGAAGATCCCACATCTTACCTTGGGACGCTGGGAGGAGCCCGGGTCGGCCGAGAGGGAACCTGTGGAGGCCCTCCGAGGGTTTCACCACCACTCGGGAATGGAGGCAGTGGTCCTGGGCGGAACGGAACTGGGGGAGCCCCCGACTGAGGGCCTGGAGATGGGATTGCAGGAGCGGGTCCTCGGCCAGATAAAGGTCTGGTTGGGGGATTGTTTAATGTGGGTCTCTTCTGGGTCGAGGGACTCGGAGGAGGTGATCTAGTGAAATACAAGAGATTGAAGAAGTTCACTAAGGTGGGGCTTGGGTGTTTTGTGGGTTTGTTTGTTGTTGTTTTCTGGGTTTGTTTTGGATTTGGGGGTTTTTAATTACTATTTTTAAACAGAAATTAAGCCCTTTTTTAGGCTTACGACTTTTTTTCTGGCTTTTTCCCTTGCCATCATCATCAGAGTACCATGTATATTTAAGTCTCACAGTTACCCTTCCTACAGACAGCATGCCCTATGATAATCACAAATAAACATATGAGCAAAGAGGTAAATTAAATGGATTTTAATATTAGAGTTCTAATAATGTTCTGTTAAGTGGATTTTCCAGGACATGGAGCCTGAGATGCTGAACTACCAGTTCCTGTTTCCAGTACCTGAAGGGTCCTACAAGGAAGCTGAGAGGGGACTTTTTACAAGGACCTGTAGTGACAGGACAAGGGGTAATGGGTATAAATTGAAAGTGGGGAGGTTTAGATTGGACATCAGGAAGACATTCTTCCTGGAGAGGGTGGGGAGGCACTGGGACAGGTTGCCCAGAGAAGCTGTGGATGCCCCATCCCTGGAAGTGTCGAAGGCCAGGCTGGATGAGGCTTGGAGCAACCTGGTCTAGTGGAAGGTGTCCCTGCCCATGGCAGGGGGGGGGAACTGGATGGGCTTTAAGGTCCCTTCCAACCCAAACCGTTCTATGATTCTATGATTCTGTAACAGCTTGCAAGAAGAGGCCTTGTGAATGCGCGACGGGGGTGACAGAAGCTATAAATCCACTGGACAGTCTTTCACAAGGCAAATATCCTGTCCGGTGTTCCATGGGATACGTATATGTGGGAAAATGTTCTGATTTCCCTCACAAATGTCATCAAAGACCTGGAGGAGTATCAGCCCAAAGAGGCAGGGCGGGAGGGAGCTCCCGATGCTGACAATGTTTGCCTGCCCTAAATTTCTTTGCAAACCAGATACGAGGGTCCTTACCTGCGGGCCTGCTGAAGCCAAGAGTCGTCTACGGGAGGGGGCGCAGGGGTTGAGACCGTGCTAGTGCTGATATCACCAATGATGGCCAGGGCTTCCTTTAGTGCTTGGTACATGCGGAGCATTTCATCTCGCCTCTGCGCCTGCTCAGCCGACTCCTCCATTAGAGTGTTTTGGTCCTCAGAAGAATACAAGTGAGCCAGGAGCTCTGCGTTGATAAATTCTTTTACCTATTTCATCAGACAAAAATAAAACAAAAAAAACCAAAACCAAAACAACAACCCACCAAACAAACAAAAAAAACCCCTAACCTACCAAAATATAGTACTGAACAAATACAACGTGAGATCCAGGGAACTAGGAGACAGATGTATCTCATCTGTTTCTCCTACTACCTTGCATCAATTCTCCTGGTTGTGCAGTTCTTCTTAGGTCAGATCAGGGACTAAAAAATGCTGAACTAGGACTGAGCTGACGGTGCAGCAGCATGAGGTCTAGCTGTGGCCTGAGGAAAGGCTGGCACAGTGCAGCTGGGCAGAGCATTTTGGTCCTATTCTAAATGGCTCAGAGGTAAATGACAGCTTTTAGCAATACTATCAGATGCTAAATTCCCCTGGAAACGGGAATTTTCAGGCTTTATAGCATCTTGGTCAATTATTTTCTTAGCAACAATTTACCCTGCTGTAGACAGTGTCTTTCATCTGCAACAACTTTGTCAGATCCTAAATATCCCATCCACATGCATTCAAACTGAAGGGAGAAGTCTCCAAGTAATCTAATTTACTATATTGATTTCCTGCTACGCCTGCCCTGGTTATGGAAATCTGGGCCATATTAGGAGAGATAAAAAGCTAGAGGTACTCTGATTAAATAAGACTGTGGTAAATAGACCAACTGCTGACCTACTAAATCCTTGCATTTGAGACTGTCGTTGCTGTTCTGATCTATTTCTCATCTGGCTTTTTGCTCTGTAAAGCTTTCTTTGAGCCGGAGATACTAACGATAATACATTTCCTAGGTTCTGCTTACATAAACCTGAGCTCCGTTTGCACGTGGGTTTGTGCTAATTTAGCAACACTGATTTAAATCCTGACAGTTAGGCTAAGACAAAGTTTGTGTTCAGAGGAGGTCAGTGTGAGCAGTCAAACGGCACGGGCATGGGACCCCTTATGGTCACCTAGCAATGAAAATAAGGCCAGGACAGACCTTACAGGGAAACAAAACCACATTGCCCAGGCTTGGCTGTCATTTCCCATTCACGTATGACAGGAGATGCACAAATTCTTAGCAAAGCCTGGAAAAATGTTCCATGAGTCTCATGCTGTTTTCCAGTAGATGGTACTGATCAAGAGCCAGAGTACACTACTTTCCACACGATTGCCAAAAACTCCACATTAAAAACAGATATCATAGTTAAAACAGCATCACATTCTACTCGATGAAATGAGCATTTTAATGGCATCACTTCAAAAAAATATCATCCTAAAATTAGATTAAGGCCAGAGCTGATTGTAAAAGCATTGTTAAACCACAAATATCTGTTTGAAAAAAATTAGCCTGTGACAATTATTGTGACAGATCCCTGTCTGCCACTAGCAGGAGCCTCAAGTAACTCCCTGAACTCTTCTGGAGAGGGAAGACTGCTGCGTTAAGGATGGTTCTGGAACCAACCTCTTTCCTTCTGCAATCGGATGCACTATACTAGACAGAGGAAGATCCTCGCTTAGCAGAGGGCAGACTACAACAGACATCATTCCTCAAACACGACCCGTTCCTTAACCCTAAGTTTGATAATAACAAGTGCTCTGGAGTTCTTCTACTCAGCGAAGATTAGTATCCGCACTGCTTACGGCGCACACGCTGTGTACCGTAAGGCCGGACCCCCCCGTACAGTCGGCGACGCCGGGGCGCCGCGAAACGCCAATTCTGAAATGTGTGTTTTGTTTGGGCGTGTTTGAATTGCTAATGGCAACTCAATGCAGTTCTCTGCGGTCATGGATTTTTCTTTCAAGGTAATCAACATCCACCCTCAGGGAAGAATAAGGGATGCATTTGGAATACAACGATCTCGGCTTAGGCCTCCAAATATGCTTAGGGACAGCATCTGATTACGTTCCGCACACTGAGTTTGAACCTGATACTTCCCTGGAATTATATGTGCTCGTTTACAGCCCCACAAAGTGGAAAGGAAGTTCTAGGAGGACTTGGGAGGTTATAATTGTCATGGAAACAAACTCCTTGGGATCGATTTGTTTCCAGAGTTTTGAAGGCAGCATGATGGGGCAGCAGAAAGTACTGAATATGCTCATTAAGGGGGAAGGGGAGGGGTGTTCTCACTTAACTGCTGGTGGATGGGTTGGACTTTTGAAGACTCCAAGGAACTTAACAGGACCCAACTTCCATCACAGCTCCAGCGCTTTGCAGGTGTTAGCACAACCTTTTGGCTTGGGGCTCAGCAGCCTTAATTCAAGCATTTCGTTCTCTTTTTAATAGTGCTGATTTTTTTTAAATTGACATTTTAGCTATTGTTTTTAATAGGATATTTTACTGCCTATGCTGCACAGAAAGTAGGGCATTAATGTTTCCAGTCTCACCCTTCGCAGTCCTTCAAAATGTTTCGATTCTTTGCCACAAATTTAATTTCTAGGATGCAGGTGTAGGTCTTAGCTGACTAGCAAACCCAAGCGTAGCTATGGGCTACGAGGTCATCTGAAAGGCAGGTGATGTTTTAAGTACGTTGTTTCTGTGTGCTGCGGTCAGCCAGCACGGCAGACCTCACCGCTGTAAGCAACAGCTGATGAGATCGAAAGTACAAAATCTGGTATTCTGCTTCTGAGTAAAGCACTTCAGAGACCCTTCAACTATTCCATACGAGGAGGTGAGTGGCAGAAAATTTAATGTAGACTTTCAGAAGGAACTGCTCACCCAACTCTGCAGTCTATGAAATGAGAGCTGAACTCCAGCCCTTTCGAAAGTCGTAACCAAAGTTGTGTTACGTCAAGGCAGCAAGTCGCTAGCTGTGGTCTGGAGAGAGCAGAGAACACCCTACAAAGTCTACCGCACGGCTGATTTTGGGAAGGAAAGGACAGTTCCGTTGTTCCCATGCTCTTTTGTAAGAACTCACCCATGACTAGAGCATTATTTGGAGCCCGACTCTCCTACACCTAAAGCAGTTAATGGAATCTCTCTCACCCTCATGCAAAATTTATGCTGGTCTGACATGTACCAGGATATCCCACTGAAATTTCCCATCCAACCACCTAACGCTTCAGTGCAACGCCAATTCCACAGGGCTGATGAAATCCATCAGACGGACCAGAGGTGGCTCTGAGTCAAAAGTAAACGCTGCTTTCTAACCAGATTTGCCTTACAGCCTATTGTATTTGTAAAGACCGATTGGGTGGTTGACCTCCCGGAGAAGGTGCCACCCATAACTAACAGGAGCTGTGCTCTCCATTATTAATTTATACAGTAGCCGTGGCGCTCATATTAAGCTTAGCTGTCAACAAGATCCATTCAGAACTCTCCCAGGATACGAAGGCTGAGGAACTAACGCAGTGAAAAAACAATGATATCGTAAAGACCAAATAATCTTCAGATCTAACACACGCACACAATTCATCAAACCACCACATCTGCTTATCAAAACAACTGTGTGGCTTCTAGGTTTATTCCTTGAAAACTGTAACCTGAAAATATAAAGAAACTCAAATAAAATAAGAATTCCTTTAAGAAACCATGACAAAGGGCTGCAGACTGAAAACCTAGGAAGCACAGCTCTGCTCTGCTGCTCTGAGACTGCCTAGATGGAGCTCCCAACTCCCTTTTCCTGTTGTATCAAAAGCAGGACAGGAAAAACGGAAATAATGCAAAAAAAGATCTTTGATTTACCTTTCAATAATAACGTGTGGTCTGATTAAGATGTAAATGAATTCAATCTTCAGCATTTTGGAGTACGCACTGAGGCAGTGTGCCTTGAGAAGGCTGCAGAACTCCCTACTGCTACAGAAGATTGCAATATTTTGTCTAAAAGTGTGACATTTATGGAAGCGTGTTCTTCCCTTCAGTACGTGCTGTTATTGCTGCCATACTCAAGAGGTGTGTTTGAGCGCAAGAGATTTGACAGACATGTTAAAACAATGTAGAACCCTGGCTGCTACTTACATTATTGATCATCAGGTGCATGATTGTTTTTGGTATCAAGTCTCGGATACATTTGTTGATAATAGACATGTAGGAATCCACAAGATTTCGAATGGTCTCCACCTGTCTCTCCAGCTGGGGGTCCATTGAAAAATTGTCTGCTTGGCCATTTTCATCGTTTTCAGTCTACACAGAAGAAAAAATAAAAGACAAGTGTTTTGGACTGCAGCACACTGGAAATATATTGGGGAAAACCCCTGGATTTATGGTAATCCAGCAATGAGACTCATACAAAGAATGTCTGGAGGTCAAAATACGAAGTTCCGGCCTGTTTAACGTTAGTGTTTAGCATTGTGAAATTCGGACCTCTAAAGGTTAATGCAATATGAGATGCAAGACCCATTTCATGAAGAATATCATATATTTCCACACAAATTTGTCACTTTATATTAAAGTTCTCATGCATGGTGGTAAAGGAACCCCCAAGAAATTATCTCAGATCACTTACTGCACAACTTATTATCAAATCTTTTACCATTCAGATTCGGCCGGCTTGACCCATGCAAGAAAGCAGCACCCTAACTCTGGGTTTTGAATTTTACCCCCCATGGGTAAAAAAAAACATCCTTGTAATTTAAGGCTGACTCAGTTGTGACAAGTTCCGCGGTTCTGCCTCAAACTTATTAGATGTGAATAGCACCTCTATAAACAAAGGATTTATGAAGGAGAACAGCAAAAGCATCGTTGGTTCCAGTGCTCAAGGTTCAGCGTAACATAGGCTGGATTATGTATTAGAGGTCTCTCTTTCATTGGACAGGAAAAAAAACCCGCTTTGTATGTAAACAGCTGACCTAATTAAAGAAAATACCAGGAACTTTAACTGGAAGCTAAAAGGTTTGTGCTTCGCTTCGGTCTGGTCTGTGTAAATATGAGGAAACCTAAAAAAAGAATAGTAGCCTTTTGGTGAAAAAAATCAAATTGCTTTCTGAGGCTCAAAGATGCCAAAAGAATGGAATTTGAACCTGGAAAGGACAAAGAACAATGTTCTTTCCCCAAACTCTGACATACAATACCTCTCCCTGAAAACGACCACTAAAGCCACATTAGCATGAACTATAAAATCCAAACCTGTCCTGTTGGCACCTCGAAGCGTAACACGAAGAAACAGAAAGCGCTCGCACGAAGCGAACAACCCAACGAGTACGAGTTACACACCAGCCAGACCCCTGTCAGCACAACTCCGTTCACAACACAGCGTTCAGCTACGACTGGCCCATCAGCCGTGCTTTACAGACCCCCGGAGCAGTTGAAATCAGTACCTAACCCGTCAGTGAAAGACCATTAGTGCTAGATATGCACATATGTCACCTTCACACAGGCTTCTCCCTGCCCAAAAGCCATTCTCGCTGAGCTGAAAAGGGATTCCTAAGTTCCACCTCCTAGCACAGGGTCCGCTCCTGCTCGAGCAGACCACTTCGTGTTTACCCCTTGCAGGCAACGGCTTGGTCAGTCCCATCTAAACGAAACGGCAGTGGCTGTGATTTGTTAAACTAGAGTTGAGTTAAGAAGACCCAACGTACCACTTAGAAATGAAACGTCTTTGTAAAAGGAGTTTCAAAAGTTCAGGTTGCTTTTAATGACAGGTAAATTACTGGAAAAACAGCTGATCTACAAACTTGAAAAATAATTAACAGTGCTTCCTAAAAATCTTGGGGCTGTGGAGGACACTGAAAGAGCTCTTGATGAAAACAGTGTTTTCAGCTCTGTAACACCAGTAGGCACACTACCCCATAAACCTTAATCGTTTTGTTAATAAACTGCATATGCCAAGAAGTCACAGCATGCCGACTGGCGATTTTCCTCAGCCTCCATGTTTGAAAAGAAACTAATTTTCCCTATGAAATACCAAATAAATGGAAAAATCCTACATCAATCATATATCCACAGATTTTAGCCAAGTAACTGCAGACTGAAAATGCCCTTTTTCCAGTTCCTCCCTTCTCTTTCTTTTCTTCTTCGCTGTCTACATAAAGTGCAGTTTGTCCATGTATTTTTTTTCCTCCTTCACTGTTTAAATTACAGATTGCAGTAAGATTCTTAGCTGGCTAAGCAGCAAAGTGACAGATGTTTATCATTATCCTCATCAAGAGAATGTGAAGTAAAAATAGTAATTTGTCTCTGATCTTTACGGCAAGGGGTAATAGTCTGCAAACATTTAACCTTTTACATACAGGCTCATAGGTGATATTACAGAAAGTGGTTAATACTTCAGGGCTCTTGTTAGAAACTGTAATAGAGTTGACTTCACATTGTTGATTTATTTTCTCAGAAATCAAAAAAGATCAACCCTTCATGAGTTTACAGTAATTCCTTCTGAAAGCTTTTTGGCCCTAGTATTCTGATTTGATGTCTCAACTGAAGGCTTGTCATGCCACAAGCCCTGTTTGCATCGCATCGTGCACATGGAAATCTCCTTCTAACAGGTATCTGTGCTCTACAGTACACCAAGAGGCGTTACTGGGCTTCCTTTTAAGCCATCAGCAGCGTCTGAGAGGAAGGTTGCCTGGTAAAGGCATCACAACACGACAGGAGTGATGTAGACACCCCATCCCATGTCATTCTTTCAAAACGGTGGGTTTTCTCCCTGAGCATCCCGGTGACCCTCGGCCCACGGCACTCCGCCTTCTAGAAAGGCTTTTGCAAGTTTGCTGCAGTGAATAAACCCGAAGCAGAATAGGTAAGAAACCCCTCACATTTCTGACAGCTCTTGGCCAGAACGTTCACACTGAACAGAAAAGGAGGACAAAGAAGCTGGAAACAGGTTTCCATGTCTCCTTTCCCAGGAGCCAAGGCAGCCACAGTCCCCTTTCTGTGCTCCTCATCCTTAAGCCAGCCTTGCTCATTCCAACAGCCAGTGTTAAGCGACAGCACATGAATCTGGGCTGAGTTTTCATTCAGTTGGCTCTTGCTTAGCACTGCTATTAATTGTTGACAGGAATGGAATATTATTACTTCAAACGAACACAACCGTAATTACTGTTGGAACTTTTGTAAGCCCCCAACAAAGAAAGTACGGAAGAATCTAGAGCGCTAAAAACCAGATAAAGATTATTAGATTCACCTTGGAACAACTCAAATTCAGATGTCATTAGAATATCTGGTGAAAATACACCACAGCTACAGTGAAGCAATAGGGGAATAAAAACACGGACTAAGGGAAGGTAACTCGGAAGCCAGGATGGCCCTTTCATTTATTTACACTTACACGTTGCCACGGACATAGGTCCTTCCCTTCTGCTTTCTCTGCACTTTAGAAAAATTAAAATAATAGCCATTCCTTGTGCTCTGCAGCAGGTCTCACCTGCCCTTCATCCGGTGCTCTGTGATCCCCGCGTGGGAATGTGCTGCTACTCTTCCACCTGTCCTGCGTTTGGATACCTTCTGTGCTGAGAATGTACGGAGGATTAACTGAAGCGTCATCCAAAAGAAGACAAAAAATTACATGTGAAATCCAAACCACTTAAGTCTGTGGGAATTCTACTGCTGGCTGCAGTGGGAATAGGATTTCGCCCTAGCACATGCATTTCTACCCAACAAGTTACTGGGCTTCTGAAGACTGTAAACTCGCTGCCGCAAGAGGAATGACTTTGTGTGGTACAAAGGGATACAGGCATGAGGAATTATGTGCAATCCAAAAAAAAAAACCAACCCCAAAACCCAACTAAATAGTCCCTCAGAATATCAGGATAATTTTCCTGATTGTGGCAGTTATAAGCTTGTTGAAGGATGTCCCAAGAAAAATTCAGGAAAAGTGTGACTCCTTTTAAAATTCATAGCAAAACTGGTAACCTAACGAAAACAGTCCCGAGCTGGCCACACAGAGAGCGCAACCCTTCTGATTTCCATGATTTCATTACATTCAGGGCAGCTGCCAGCATATTTAAGCATGTCTTGTATAACATTCCTGATGTCAGTTCCAAGAAGGAGCATTTGTCTAGCATTTTCATTAGGGCAGTGTATCAACCAATTTTCTGTAATCAAAAAGGCATTCTATCAAAAATAACCGAGAGGAAGCGGACTGGAAGGTGACTGACTGAAGGGTAGAAGTCAAAGCAGCACCAAAGCAACGCTCTAAGCTAAGAAATAAGTCCGTGGCTGCAGTAAGAAGCCAATTATTTCAGAGCTGCTTTCCTATCTTTCATTTACAGATGCGAGCTCAGAGCAAGCACCACCACCTGAAAATGAATTATTCCCACCAGGTTGCATTGATATTTTAATTCACAGCTGCTGAATTTCTTTTATCCATTGCTAATCTAATTTAGCCATTCCTGTCCAAGTAAGGCTTTTCTTTAGTGCAGTTGTCCTAACCTCTCCCTGCCGTTTCCTAAAGTGTTCCACTGGTTCTTGATTCTCTTTCTTCATTGAGGTTTGCTGCTCCCTCTATCACTCAGCCAACGTGGCGTGCCCTTTGCCAGACGACCGCCGAAACCACACGACGGCTTCACGCGGTGAGGTTTTTCGCACTGGAAGGAACCCCACGTAAATGGCAATACATTACTTCTGTGTATTTACAACAAAAGAGGCAGCAGAAATAACATTTCCCAGGTAGCTTGGAAGCTGTCCTTTTCCCTCGCAGAGGGTGACTTTGTCGCTTCTCCATGCTTTCAGCATCTCCTGCCGCGGGAGTGTGGCTGCCTTCACTGAGCCCCCCTCCGACTGCCCCTTGCAGCTTTCATCCGTAGCCGTGAACTGCTCTAAACAGACGTTATGATCCGGCTTTCCCTTGTACACATAACCTCTCTCTCTCCATACCCATGTAGAGGAAAGATAGAACCTGGCTCAAGTTGACCCAACAAGTATTTAACCATCCGGATTAGCTTGAACAACTCTCTGCTGAGATTCTTCTCTGTGGTTACAGAAGTACAGACCATTAGCCAAAACCTTCTGCTGAATCCACATTCTGCTTCCCAGGTTTAATGACTTAATGATCCTGAACATTCAAAATCTCCCCTAGATTCAATGATCCCGAACATTCAAAATCTGTATTAGGCTCTTTTCCTGCCTTCTTCAATCAAGAAGCTGGTTTGGAATTAGGAGACAGAAAGGAATGATGTATCACCAGAACTCCAACACATTTGGAGTTACTTTTGTCTTACAGTTCCTAACAGGTTGACGTCTAATCATGC